CTCAACTCACCCCAACTCAACTCCACTCAAGTCACCTCAACTCACTTCAACTCACCTCAGCTCGTCTCAACTGAACTGGCTGCTAGTAAATTCGTTGCTCCCCGCTGCTCTACTCCACGAGATTGTTGTTTTCTTCCTCTTTCAGTCTGTTTGTTTAGTTTTAAGTTTAACACTTTAAACTACTTCATGCAAATAATTTGTTCCTGTCTCAAAGTCGTGTTCCAGTAGTCGAGCTGTGAGACACCGGTGGGAGTTGCCGTGTTTAACTCGGTCACGGGGCTGTGGCTCAGGGTCCAGCTGGTGGAGCCACAAACCACCGGGCGAGGCCCTTTGCTGAACCCGGCACCGTTACCCGTGTAGGGGTGTCAGGGGAAGGATTCCCACCAATAGATGGGTTAGTGGGAGGGGTGATCGAGGAGATATAAGGAGAGAACGGGCGGGAAGAAGGGGCCTTTGGCGGGAACGAGATTGGGACGGCTGGGGACAGGTGTGGATGGAAGGAAAGGAATAAAGGACGAGACCCCTGCAATCTGGTGTCGGCTCATACTTTACACCCGCTTAGTGCGTAAAAAAACTAAATAGGACCTTTTTGCCGGTATAAAAGTATGAGAAAGTAATAATGATAGGTTTTACCCTTTATGGCAATACAACATGAGTTGTGTTCAGGTTTTCAAACACCAAATAAGATTGTGTGGTTAATGCAGACTGTATTCATTGCAACAGTCATCAATTTTGTGTTCGAACATCTTAACACCTCACGGGACCTCCCTTGTCAGTATCAAAATATAAGAATAATAAGTTTTACCCTTTCTGGCAATAAAACAGGAGTTGTGTTAATATGTTAAAACACCAAACAGAAACCTTAGCAAGGAATAATGTCTTCATTAACCACATATAGTTATTGTGGTGAATATGCAAAGAAAACATCCTCTGATAATTATAAAGGCATTGTATGTGAAACTGATTGGGGCGCGCCGGTTGAGGTGGTCCCTCAGGGTGGCTCTGTGGTCCCGCCCGCAGGATCGGAGCTCGTGATCCTCTCAGCGCCGTCGGAGATGCTCCTCCGAAAACCCTGCTCGAGGAGGAGTGGCTATCGACTGGCAGACCTCCATCCGCACCGCTGCCCCCAACGGGGGGGCTGCAGCCGCCCACCTGTGACGACGCTACCCCCACACCTTCCGGGGTGCTTCGGCCCGCCTCCCCTGGGGGTCCGGCCATGTGGACTCGCTCACGGACCGCACGGTTCAAATGACACTGTCACACATGCAGATTGTTCCACTGGTCTTTAATGTTACGATCGCGCGTGATTTTTCTCCACCCACAGAATTGCTGTTGTGGTTCATCGAGTTGCGAGTGAGGGGGGGGGCGTCTTGGGGTGTTGGGGCTGTCCGTTCCCGTTTCTTTGTGTTGATGCTTGTTCGTCTTCTTGTTGGTGCGTTCGTGGTTCGTTCGGGGTTCTATATTAGTACATTTGTTCTCGTGTTATTTTTTGTCAGCGGTTATTTATTGACGTTGCTTGTTGGGGGCAAACTGTATTTTTTCCCTGTGTTATCACAGCTGAGACGGCTGTATTTTTACATGGGGGAGGGGGGTGATGTAGTGTTACGTCACTACCGTGTGGGCCTCCACACACACGCGTGACGTCACAACCTGGGGGAGTGTCACTACCTCGCGCGGGTCCACACACACATGACGTCACTACGTCTGCATGCGGGAATGACATCACTGCCGTATCAGGGGGTCTGCAGGCCGTGGGTCAGTACCGCGGGGGTTGTGTGAGGCCGTGGCACTCTGGATGACCCCGGCTGGACATGTGACTGGATCAAGGTGGGGGCCGGGGGCCCCGGGGGCACCCTGGGGACCACGTGGTCACCTTCTCGAGAGTTCTCGAAGGTGAGCGTGCCCGGGGTGTGGCCCGCACACGCCGAGGCGCATATAAGCAGGCTCCTCACCTGGTGCGGGGCTGCTCGGGTCCAGGATGAAGATGCCTCGTGAAGACGCCTCGTGAAGAAGAAGAGTGAAGCCTCAAGTCCGCGTGGCCAACCAGTAGCCCTCCTGGCTTGGCCACACAAGTCGTATCAGAGCGTCAGTATTAGCGAGTGTTAGCGAGTGATGATGTGTGTTAGCGAGGATAGGTCGGTGGTCACCACCCTATGTTAAGAGTTACCCGTTGTGTTAATAATAAAAAGTGTTGCCTCCCAAGTTCAGTGTGTGCGCCTCTAACGAACTATTACACTACTACACACTACACTATTATACACTACTATACGCTCTACTATTATACACTACACTATACACTGGTATACACTACAGAATACACTACTATACACTATACAATACACTACACTATACACTACACTACTATACACTACACTATACACTAGTGCTGTACTAGTATACTACACTATACACTACACTTTGTATCATGAGTCTATGGGTCTCTGTATCATGAGTCAATGGGTATCTGTGTGGTGAGTCTATGGGTCTCTGTCTTAGTCTATGGGTCTCTGTGTGAGTGAATTTATGGGTCTCTGAGTCTGGTTCGGTGTGTGTGTATGGGTCTCTGTGTGAGTGTGGATCTCAGTTGTGAGTCTGGGTCTGTGTGATGGAATCTATGGGTCCCTGTTCGTGAGTCTGTGTCTCTGAGTGAGTGAGTGTCTCTGTGTGGTGAGTCTATGGGTCTGAGTGAATCTATCAAAGTGCTAATGCATTAACTCTTCCACAATCATCGTGCAGTAGACTTGGCACGTTTTTCTTGATAAACAGAACGAGCACTACAATAAGATTTGTATTGAATCAGATACAGCGAGTACTGGTCTGGTCACACACAAACTCACGTGAAATTAGTCTGTGTCACTGTACGTGTATTACTTTCTATAGTCACTTCAAATAAACAGTCATACTCAAGACAATAACGTGCTGTGTGTTCTTTTTTACCTTCGATTTTTATTGACCATTTTCATTATCTAATCAAACACGAGCAACCCGCACGGCCTTTGTACCTGACTGTCCGTGCCTGTGTGTGTTTTTGTGTTTAGTTTGTTGTCCTTCCCCCGCACCTCCGATTTGCCCAGCTGGCTACATTCGTTGCAATATAATCTCAACACACAATACATACAGGCAGGTGGCCAGGAATCCAGTTGGCAAAACTTTGTGAGCCTTGGTTTAAGTAAAGCCTGACTTCTGCTGATGAGAAACAGAACGTCAGAACCTGACCTTGCCTATGAACATCTGGGCAATTCGCCAGCATTGCACCTCCGATTTGCACGGTTGGCTACGTACGTTGGCTACGTACGATGTGAAATAAGTTCAACATTCATACATTGCTTCACGCGAGCCTGACTCTGCTGCTTATGAGACACTGAAGGTCGAAACCGGCCCAGAGTGTTGCTTGCGTTTAACCAAATGCCACTTCAATTAGGAACTCCCAGAAGGCCGTGCCTGCGACTGATGGGATGAGTAAAACAATACGTGAGGTCAATCTTGATTTGAAGCTTTCGTGACTGCAGGAATCCATACTCTCTGGTTCTTTCGCTGAAGTCACGTAGGTAGAAAAATAATAGATCACGACGTTTCGATCGCAACACAAGCAACCGTCATCAGGTGGGACAACCACGGCAAGAAAACAACTGCTGAAGTAGGCGAGAGACCTGCCGTGGCACGAGGTTATATAGGCCTCGGCAATAGGGGGGAGCGAGAGGAGGTGGGGGAGAGAGGGGGCGAGAGGAGAGAGGAGGTGGGGGGAGAGAGAAGGGGCGGGGCAGAAAGTACGTGGTGTGTATTATGTCTTTAATGTGTCTTGTGGAGAGAAGGGTTTTGCGAAGGAGGAATGATGATGATGTTAGTGACAATGATAGTAATGGTGATGGTAATGATGATTGTGATGAAGGTGGTAGTGGTGGTAATAATGGTGAAATGATGATGATAGTATTGGTGTTTATCATTGTAATAATGATTGGAGTGATGGTAAGAAGGGTGATGGTGATAATGGTGGTGTGGGTGGTGATGATGACGATGGTGTTGATCATGGTCGTGGTGATGATGATTGTGGTGGTCGTGATGGTGATGAGGGAGATGGTGATAATGATGACGGTTATGGTGGTTTTTACGGTGATGATAGTGATGATGATGGTCGTGATGATGGATGTGATAATGGTGATTATTCTGGTGTTTATTGTGGTGTTGATGATGGTAATGATGGTGATTGTGATGATTGTGATGATGATGATGATGGTGGTAACGATGATGGAGGTGATGATCGTGGCAGTGTTGGTAGTGGTGATGATGGTGGTGATGATAGTGATGATGATTGTGATGGATGTGATAATGGTGATGATTATGGTGGTTGTTGTGGTGTTCGTGGTGATGGTAGTTCATAATGGTTGTGGTCGTGGTCGTAGTGATGATGAGGATAATGATGTTGATGATGTTGGTGATGATATTGATGATGATAGAGTGGGGGTGATGATAGTGATTAAAATGGAGTAATGACAATGATGCTGATGATCATTATGGTGGTAATGATGGTGATGATGGAGGTAGTGATGACTGGTGATTACAATGATGGTGGTGTTGATGGGGATGATGGTGATGATGATAATAGTGATGATGGGGTGATGATGGTGAATCGCAGGGATGATGGGGGCGTGGTGACGCGAGCGCGCACTGCAGGTGAAGGAGCGGCCACATGGACTCAAACTTCTGAACCGGCGATTTGTACTTCATAGGTGACATCGCTCATGCACACCAACCTGAACCTCACCCTCCCCCCTCACCCTCCCCTTCCATGCTCACCTCACCCTTCATTCAATTTTCACCTCACCCTCCCATCACCCCACCCTCCCCTGACCCCCACCTTGCCTCACCATCGCCTCTACCCCCTCCTTCCCATCCTCTCCTCTCCTCACCCCCTCCTGACCCTTCACCCTCCACGCTTACCTGTCCCCTTCCCTCACCTTCCCCTCCAACTTACCCTCACCCTCACTTCACCCTCTCCTCACCATCCCCCCTTTCATCAGTTTATTGGGTTTCCATCTCAGTTTCTTGGGTTACTATTTTTCCTCATCCTCAGGATGCGCGACTCAGATCCACGATCTCCAATCGATCATTACAATACCTCACCCACATCCCAGGGTAGAGAGGCTGCAAGAATCTCTGCCGAACCTCGTGGATCACCTCCATTGAGTCGGCGCGGTAAAACTCCAGGAGCCCCCCCTCCCAGTGCAGGTGAAGCCCGATTCTGCGGGGGGAGGGGGCCCCCCTCACCGACAGTGCAGTCTTCTCTCCACCATGAAACACTGAGAAGTTGTCGTCACGTTTCTCTAAACACCAGGATACGTTGCTCCCTCCCAGCAGCTGTGTAACACGATCCCATTTCCGTGGGATCGTCCCGTACGCGACTCCAACCCGCCACCACTCCACATCCCCCACATCCACCTCCCAGTAGTGGTGGCCCGACGAGAAGCTCTCACAGCACAGGGCTTGTGCAAAGCTATTAAACCGGTGTGGGTGATTGGGGCGACCCTGGGAGGCATCGGTCCACGTCATCGTCTTGAGATCCGAGGAGATCTGGAGGTAGTTATGAGCGGAGTTTGTGTCCAGGGTCGGTGAGCATCCGTCTGTGACAACAGCGATGACAACATCACTACAGAACACCGTCATCACCATCATCCACCATCACCACCATCAACATCACCAACCATCATCTTCACCATCAACAATAACATCACAAACATCACCATCACCAATAATCCTCGCCATCAATATCATCAATGACAACATAAACATCACCATCACCGACATCATCAACACTATGAACATCAACAACATCACTATCGCAATAAGCAACATCACAACCATCATCACCACCATTAGGACCATCACAAACAATCACCACCATCACTACCATCACCACTATTCCCATCACCACCATCTTCATCACTATCACTACACCGAGTCTCATGGTGTTGTTCAGTAGGGTCCTGGAATGGGATGTAAACAAAGACAAAGACAAAGATCCCATGTGTAGCCTTCACAGACTACCGCATCAGGTTCCAGAATGTAAATCCCCCGTCTAGCCTTTACAGACTGTGGGGTAAATCAGCACCGTTGAAGGCTGGCACGACACACGAGGTGGGTGGCCAGCACTACGCCTGGCCGCCTTTGTCTCCCTAGTGGTGATATTTATAAAATACCAGGTAATTATTTGAGTCTGAGTCGACCTCGTGCACACACACGGGGATAATGTATTGTCAAGATGGCCCCATCACCCATGATTCACACTGAAGAACTCACACAGGAGTTTGACTGCAGTTGTCTCCAGGACTTTAAGTGAGGCAATGTCCTCTTGGCTGGGAGCTGAGAGTGGAGCTGCTGTAACCCTCCCTGTTCTGTGAAAGCAGAACAGACATGGCCACTGTCTCACATAGAGCATCGTCACTCACAGGATCATCACAGCATCATCACACCGGCAATCATTAAACAAAGCATAATCACTCATCTCACAATTACAGCATCACCACACAGAATTAATATTACCACGTACAGCATCACCACACACGGTATCAAAACACAGCATCACCACACACAGCATAATCACACAGTATTACCACATACAGCATCAACACACACAGCCTCATTACACAGCATCACCACACACAGCATCACCACCACACAGCATCACCACGCAGCCTCATTACACAGCATCACCGCGCAGTTTCACCACACAGCCTCACCACACACAGCTTCATCACACAGCATCACCACACACAGCCTCATCACACACAGCCTCATCATACAGCATCACCACACACAGCCTCATGACACAGCATACTACACATCACCACACAGCATCATCACACAGCATCACCACACACAGCCTCATCACACAGCATCATTACCACACAGCATCACACAGCATCACCAGACAGCATCATCACCACACAAAATTACTAACACCATACACAGCATCATCACATACGGCACCATCACACAACATTCACTACACACAGCATCCCCACACACAGCTAATGTCTCACTGTCCGCACCCCACACTCAGTCCCATGTTGTCGAGTCGTGAGTGAAAGTCGTCTTTTACCTGCGCGTCTCCTCCAGGTGCCCCTATGGGAGAGAGAGAGAGATGCGTTACTGTGACTCTGCCTCCAATCCCTTGTGATCAGTGGAGTTCCCACTGCAACACCGCGGGTGGAATATAAACCCAAAGTCTTGAATCACCAACACTTACTTACAGGGCAAATATTTCAGAATGAGACCGATTGATAGTCAACTATTTTAATTTTTCCAGGTAAGGCCTACGGAGCTGTATAGCACTTTTTCAGAAGCGACCTGGTCACAAATGATAGCTCAACGAAGTAGTTCATCACGTGAAAATGGTATAGCAGCCCAATACTCTAAACGCACGTTTTCAAATGTGGAAGGAAATTTTGGAGGACCCGGAGAAAAATCCATGCAACCATGGAAAGAGACATGAAAACTCCAAATGTATAAGGATGTCAGGGTTGGGATCAAATCCCCGATTTGATACCAGGCGAGGTAATTAATATCTCGCCACCCCTATGAAGACCAACACTGATTTGCAGGGCAAATATTTCAGAGTGATACGGGTTGATATGAATCTGTGTTGAGATTAACTGAGTACTGGTAATTTATGTCGTCAATGCACACATGACAGGTCTTACAAAAGTGGTGGACAATACACAAGGGTATCAGCGATATTCAAGACAATCTTATCAATACGCATGTAGTGGGTCAATAACTAGAAAAGAGTCTCTCTGAGGCAGCACGTAATTTATTTAACAACAATTCCTTAACATATAGGGGTAACGGCCCCTCACACCCGATAACTATGGAGGTTTGCCCCTCCGGACTGAATACTCCTCACAATGGCTATTCTAACCCTTCGGAGTGAAGCTTGGGTCTTCACTGGTATATAAGCTTAGAGCCGACCCATTGGGCTCTTCTCTTCAGAAGCTCTTGATCTTCGGGTGAACGACGACTGCTGAGACAGTTCAAGGGTCCGGCTTTTATACAGATGCGTGGCTCGCCCCGCCCCGGCCACACCTTCCTTCCAGAGCCTTCCACCAGGTCCTGGACGGGTGACGTCATCCTCCCCAGCCCCCTCCTGGGGTCTGGGGTCTGCGTCCCTGGATCCGATATCTCATAGGAGTTACCGTTGGCCCTTTGGGCCATAGTTATTTATTTTAGCTTCAATAATATGAACACTGAAGGTCGTGCATCCAAGAGGAGGTCCACAAAGTAGGAAGCAGAGATGACATCGGCTCGTGAGCAGGTGCTGGTGGATTGTTGCATCGCGGCAACATGAGATGTATTCATATTCTTAGGTTTTTTCTGTAAAATCACGTAGGTAAAACATCAAAATTAATGAAAATAAAATAAAAATCACGACGTTTCGGAGGCAACACAAGTCTCCGTCATCAGGTGGGACCGTCACAGCCAGACCAGCCGCATCAAGTGAGGCAATGATCCAAGATGCAATCCCCTAATCATTGCCTCACTTGATGCGGCTGGTCCGGCTGTGACGGTCCCACCTGATGACGGAGACTTGTGTTGCCTCCGAAACGTCGTGATTTTTATTTTATTTTATTTTCATTAATTTTGATGTTTTACCTACGTGACTTTACCGAAAAAACCTAAGAATATGAATCCTTGCAGTCACGAAAGCTTCAAATCTAGAACATGAGATGTGGCAATGGTCTGGGGAGGCCTTCATCCATCAGTGGATTGATTATGGCTGATGACATTAATACTATGTACATTGTTGTTGTAGGATTTATTTAAAAAGTGCAAATCCAATAACATTTAGTTTATATTCACAATGAAACAAACTTAATGGGAATATGTTAAAGGATGGGAGAGAGAATATTAATTTAACTGAGAAAATATGAGCTGGGCTTCCACATGGCAGCCACTGGAGCTGCGAAGTCCATGAGTGGAGCTGTGTTCTCAAGCCCAGTGGATGCGAGCGCTCATTCAGGAGCCTCCCTCTGCTGCTGCTGCTGGTTAGAGGGCTCTGTCCCCAATAGCGACACTGGAGACTCATCGCTCACCTGCAGGAACGCGAGCGAGTCCCTCTCCTGCGTTAGGGCCTGCAGGCGAGTGGCTGCTGCCTGGAGCTCGCTGATCTCGCGCTGGTAGTGAGCGATCTTCTTCTCGATCTGGGACAGCAGCTCGCACCCTTTCTGCTCCGCTTGCTCTAAAGCCGCCTTCTCCTCCGCATCCAACGCTGCTCTCGCGCGGGTGAATCTGACCGAGATTGAAACTGTTTCATCTGTCATGGATCCCTGCAAAGAGAAAGCAATGCCACTTCTGTTCATTAAATGTCTGATCCGTTGTGAAATTGCATTAAGGTCGGTGTGACCCGAGTGCAACTGTAAAGGTGTCCAGACAGTGATACGAGTCTGCAGCACTGAGGCCTCCTTCTTCCACTGCCTCTGATAACGCCACTGTGCATTTTCATTACAACACGATTCACCATGACTGGTGATGACTGTGAGGCAATTAAATTATCAAATACCATCATGAGTACATTTAGCATCTGTGCCATTCTCATAGCGCAAGGCTATAAAGACGATGCTTTGTTTACCTTCGTATGAAGCGAAGGAAAATCTGTAATTAGCCTTCAACAAGAGGAGCCCTAAGGAATTCGGAAGTTCGGCCAATTCCTCTTTCAATTCATGTTTTGAATGTGAAAGAAACCCGCATATGTATGGATGAAGAGGGGGGATCATGAAACGAATTGCTCTAATACCACCTGGCCACCCTAACGCCTGATTGATTTCAGTAAGATGGTGTACAACAGTCTGTGTGTGATCCACCAACTCTGCCACCAGAATATTGGATAATATATATGTACCACCTTATCTGACCAATATAGATAACAGATGTTGAAGTGGTAAGTTGTATGGAGATATGGGAATGTCGAATTTCCATCACTGATTCAGTTTTGTTGAATATAGGCCTTTTTCCCAAAAATAATATTAAGAATAATTCTGCCAATATTTTTTAAAATAAATAAATAAATGAAACAACACTCTCAATCCCGCTACCTCTCACAAGCACCAAGCATATGGAGGTCATAAAAAAAACATCAAATAATAAACTCCGGGGCAAAGAGGGGTTAACGACAATCTGGGAAATCTCCAGATTGTCAAAGGACCGCATGCCATGACCTCCCCACGGACGTTTTAGGCAGTTCACAAACAAATAGTCAGACTCACTGCACGGACACAGAACACAGGGAAAACGGACATTTTAACTGATATTTTTTGAATACGGTAAAAGTTCGAAGCTTGGCTATAAGAATAAGTCGATATTATAGACTGCAGTATTATTTTATTTCTTATTTTATCTTTCTATCTCCGTGACTTTACCATTCCGGCAGTCAAGAAAGCTTAAGTGGAAACTTAGTTACATCTCTAATCTCAGGATATTAAAATATAACTCGAGAATAAAGAGCACGGATCCCTGGATACAGGCATGGAGCAAAAGTTAATAAAACCCCTGAAATACTGGAGGTAACATCTAATGACATTTCGAATCGTGGTTAAACATAAACCAAAAAATAATCACAAGAGATTAGACCTAGGGTAACTCAAAAGAGATACGAAAAACATACTTCAAACACACAAGACCAGATAATGTGTATTCCATGGAATCTGAGCCTCCACGGCCGCCTTTGTTTTCCACCAATTTGACAACACATGGTATCCATAAAATACGTATGAAGGGTGCCTCCCCTCCCTTTTAGCAGACAGCACGAAGAGAGGGGGAGGGATGCAAACAAAAACAGAAACTGTCAAAGGTCAAATAGGGGGCGGGGCAACCAGGCGGCTGCAACCTCGAGGATGGTGACAGAGGGCATCTGTTTTTTACTCTCTCGCAAGAGACGCGCAGAGGGGAGAGCATTTCAGATACAACCAACGACACAGATCATGCAAGTGAGTACCGCGACGGGCAGATTCTGGGGCATGGCCTCGAGATCAACAATGGGTGTTGTGTCTCGCAGAGAAGAGGGGTGAAGTGATGCTCGGTGCTGAGTTCGGCATGGACCGACAGAGTATCGCTGAAAGTTTTATTCTACAGTTATCCTGATGTTTTGAGTCGCTTGCAGAGTCAATGATTGCGATAAGTTTTATTGTACTAAGCTATCAGAGTGGTGTAAGAGGTGTGCGAATACAATTGTAGTAAGTAGCAGAGGAGACGATGTCGAAGTTGAGACACACTGTTTATTAACTCCGGGACAGATACAATAGTTGAAGGGGTATCGGCCCCTTCACCCGTACTATGGGAAACCCACCCTAGTACTAAGCCCTCTGTCCTGTCCCCCAGTCCTCCTCTACTGGGCTACGGGAGGCTGACTGATCTGGCCCTGGCAAGCACAGATCTCGGCACCAGCTAACCAGCCTTGCCCTGACAAGGGCAGCGGTCTGGAAGCTCCTGGGCCGCGCCACTGGCTTACCCGGCTCGGCCCTTATAAGGACGGCGAGACCGGGGAGTCCCAGGGCCTAATCTCCGAGTCTTGGATCTTCACTGGTCAGCTTCGTGTCGAACTGAGCTCGAGCTCTTTGGGTTCCACCTTTTATAGGGATCGCCTCCAAGGGCTGGGGGCGTGGGCAATAACTGATGCGGACGTCGGTGTGACCACCCGTGTATGTGAGTGCCGACAGCCCTGTGTTTGTTGTCCGCTGTTCCTCCCGTAATAACCCCTACATCACCCCCCCCCTGTACAGCTCGCAGCCGTCCCGGCTGCAACAATCCCTCAACCCCCAAGAATAAAGATTAACACCGTCAATACACGTGTGCCTCGTAACAGTAACAATAACAAGAACAAGCGTAACATCAACCGATGGTTCCCTATATAACAAAAAAAACCCCTCACGCAGAACCGCAATACATATACAGAACGGTATACCAGCACATGCAATCAGCATATCGCGATCACACGCGCACATTGAAGCATAATAGCAAGCAAATCTGCAGGCGACCAACACACCATCAATCCCGTCGCAACTTTGCAACCACAACACAATTATTCTCTGCCATGCAATGACCGCATTGCACACCGCACCTCGCAGCACAATACAGCCCAAAAAAACATTTTTTTTTTCCCTCTTTTTTTCAATTAAGCCCATCGCGCACGGTAACCCACGAGATGGTACAGCACAGGGTACCCGACGCCCCCACGTTAATAATTAACTATACCATCAAGATGACAACTCCACGCAGCAGCGCACACACTCCCTTTGAAACTCAGCAACCACAGCAGACTCTCCGTCCATTCCCAACACACGCACACACTTACATGGACAGCAAGCAACAAGCAGATAGCGTGGCCATCGTGATTACACACACATACAACCAAAAAAAACATATATACAATGAGCGGGTTCCGCAGCAACGGAACACGCGCGGAAAGTTAATCATAACAACCGGCGCGTTTTGGCGCGAGTCCGTGCAGCGGGCCCGTCACAAGGGGCCGGCTTGGTAGAGTCGGTGGCAGGTGTCGCATCAGCAGGTGCCTGGTCGTCCGGTTTCCCGGACGTGCCAGCGCCGCCCCCCACGGGGGAGGCTGGCAGCCCAGAGGGCTTCAGTCCTGGGGCTCCTGAAGACGTGACAGTCATTAGTGGATCAGAGGCTGGCATCGATCCCGCCCCCCCGGAGTCAGAGGACTCCCCACATGTTCGGCCATTTTCGTGGGAGGAAGCGTGCGGAGCAAAAAATGGCTTTAACCGTGAAGGGTGTACAAACCACCGACGCTTCCCCCACTTAATGCGCACACATTGAGGCCGCACAACCTGCACAATTTCAACAGGGCCCCTCCATGGTCGCAACAACTTAGCCGAGGTGGCCAATGGCACCTGGGGGCAGTGCAACCATGCTCGGTCGCCCGGGTGCCATTCGTGCGTGTGAGTCCGGCGCGACCGCAACCTCTCGTTTTGTTTCTGGCGGGAGTCAGAGTTTTGCATGGCCGCCTGCCGTGCCTCCGCCAAGCGAAGGATGTTGAATTTAACATGGTCGGCGATTTTCGACTTAGCATGAGGCGCGGCAATCGCCAGCTGAGTCGCGACAGGCGGGTCAACCTCGCGACCATACATAAAAAAAAATGGCGAGAAACCGGTCGCCGCGTGAGGAGCCATCCTGTATGCCGCCAGGACTCCCCCGATCCGTAGATCCCAATCGTTTTGGGACTCAGATACCTGGTGGGATAGCATGGACGTAAGAGTCCTATGCAAGCGTTCCACCATCCCATCCGTCTGTGGGTGGTAAGGCGAGGTACGAACTTTCTTCGTACCCAGAAGGCCACATACCTCGTGTAAGAGGGTACTAGTGAAATTCTTTCCCTGATCGGTCAACAACCGTTCCGGAGCGCCCTTGTCGAGGACGTAGCCCTGAACAAAAGCCTCCGCAACGGCCGCTGCGGACTGGTTGGCGAGGGGCCAAGCCATAGGCCATCGCGTGAAATATTCCACGCCAACCAGCAGGTACTTATTACCCCTCGGCGTGGAAGGAAACGGTCCCAAAATATCAAGGGCGACCAGCTCGTTAACCCGGGTGACCGAAATGGACTGGAGCGGTGGACTGGCTCCCTTCGCCGGCGGCTTCCGTTGTGCACACTGGGTACAGGACCGCAGCAGATCGTCCACGTCTCTTGCCATGCCCGGCCAAAAGTAATTAAGCTGGAGCGTGGCAAGCGTTTTGAGGGTACCCAGGTGCAGGAGCCGTTCATGAGCAGCCCATACAGCCCTACCCCTCAACGTGGAAGGCACCACCAGCCTGTGACGGCGGATTGTCGCGTCCCAATGCATGAGTACGCCCTGGCACCACCCCCATGAGTCAACGCCCGACTTCCCTGGACCCGATCCTTCCGCGCGACGTCGTAGTGCCAGGAGGGTCGCATCCTCCATTTGGAGGCGGCCCCACTCAGCACTCGACAAGCCAAGTAGGGAATCACTCCCACCCTCCGAAATAGGACCAGCGTCCGAAGGAGTATCAACTGCGGCCGCAAGAACCCGATCCTGACCGTCACTCGCCGATTTGCAACGGCCCGAACCCAAGAAACAAGTGCAATCCGGGGCGATCGGCAGGCGTGATAGGGCATCGGCATTGGTGTGGCGAATCCCCTTCCGGTAAGTTGTTTCAAAATCGAAATCCTGCATGATCTCGAGCCATCGGGACAACTGCCCCGATGGCTGGTTAATTCGTAGGGCATACTGCAATGCCGCATGATCTGTACGGACGGTGAAATGCCGGCCGTACAGATATGGCCGGTACTGTTGGATAA